CCCTTCCACTGAACTTCAACTTGCCATGATTTGTTAGTAGATTCTCACCCAAAATGCATTGCAGTTCGGTATCTTTCCTGAGTGGCTGAGATACCACAACTAAAATTGGTATGTTTGTTTACTAATTACAAATTACATCCTACACATCCATTTTTAGAGAAAGGAGGGGGGAAAGTTCAAACTACATTATAGTAGGATATTTGTTGAAGGGCTTCTTGAACATCGTGATTGCCTAATCCTACCCTAGTAAGTTTTCCTGCAGCAACTGGGAGCCAGTGTGGTGTAGTGGTTAAGAGCGGTAGACTCGTAATCTGGTGAACCAGGTTCGCATCCCCGCTCCTCCACATGCAGCTGCTGAGTGACCTTGGGCCAGTCACACTTCTCTGAAGTCTCTCAGCCCCACTCACCTCACAGAGTGTTTGTTGTGGGGGAGGAAGGGAAAGGAGAATGTTAGCCGCTTTGAGACTCCTTCGGGTAGTGATAAAACGGGATATCAAATCCAAATCCAAACTGAAGGAAGGAGGGTCTAGAATCATATTTTCTGGTTGGACACATAATATAATAAAATCAGGTAATTCAGCGAGCGGTGCTTAATTTTCTCTCAGATTTGGTGCACCCAGACAGAAGAAAAAAAGCATAGATGCATGGCTTCAGAGTCGTCAATGAGGTGCACAAGGAAGCTGCTGCATAAACCAGTTTTGCAACAGGAGGGGCACACGAACTATTGGCGTGTACACACTGCATGACAGTTTTGTGTTCAGTGCTAGATGCAGGCGCCTTGATGGGGTGCTGGATAGACATCATCCCCATGTCACACACCATTTGTCAATCTAAAGTTCATTCTGCTGGAACGGTTAGAATCCATTTTGTGCCAAGAATGCACTTCTCAAGCACAGGGGCGTTTTCAAGGGCCACCTTCTGCTGGGACAGGACTGCGCCACGCCCCAGCACCAGGTCCAACTTGTCTTTGAATGAAGCAAAATAGGAAGCGGTACGGTAGTATCTTAGCTGCCTCTATAGACAGTGGTACCTTGGTTTACGAACTAAATCCCTTTCCCGTTCTTAAACCAAAGCATCCTTAAACCAAGGCATGCTTTCCCATAGCAGCGGGGGGGGGGGGGGCTCAATTTACAAATGGAACACACTCAACAGGAAGCGGAACATGTTCTTTTCCAAGGCAAAGTTCACAAACCAAAACACCTACTTCCAGGTTTGCAGCGTTCTTGATCCAAGTTGTTCATACACTAAGCTGTTCTTAAACCAAGGTACCACTGAGATATATATTCGCTGCATAGAAGCATATTAACACGTCATCTCCCAGCCCCTCTCTTCCAAAAGACTGTGAATATGAGAATGTGTATCTGTGGAAAGCCTAATGGAGGGAAGGGGAACAGAGGACACAGTTGCACACTAGTTTGAAAACACGTTGACCTGTGTGCATAGACAATGCAGTTTTCATGCAAAAGTGTTGTGCAACTGCAAACTGCTATGCACAAACGAAAAAATGACCCCTGGGCATTTGAAAGGCAATGTTTGTTTGGACCATGGGTGAGAACCCAAAGGCTGAGGGGAAGGGTATATCTGAAAGAAAATGAATTGGTAATTCACTTCTAACTTTGTATTAAAATAACATTTTTTATGTGCAACTGTGTGTTTTTCTAATATGTTTGTTGTTTACGTTGTCCGTTGATGCTTCAATTTTCTTAAGAGATATTTTTAAGATAGTAAGCAGGATAGAAATGTTGTAAACAACAACAACACATTTGTACATAGCCTGTACAGACTCCTCCTTCTAGCCCAGTAAATGCATTCAGACCCTAGAGGTTGCACCCTCTGCAAAAGGATAATGTCACAAGTGGGAGGGAATCATGACAATGGAAAGATTCCAAGCCTGATAGAGCTTTACAGGACTTCCTTTGACAGAAATGTTCTGTTCCTGGCAAGGAAAAAACAAAACCAGGAATGCTCTGTTTAACTCTGGTTATGCAAGTCTTCATAATGGTGCCATAAGTCTCCCTACTTGCAGTTCTCTTAACGATTCCAGGTCATTTGTTGCTTCTTGTTAAAAACAGAAGCCAGCTTGCTGCTATCAGTTATGCAACTTATACACCGGATAACTTGGATGCAGACATCATGCACGAGCCATTCAGACATGACAAAACTGACACGGAAATAATCACATGGTAGGGAGATATTTCATGATACTATTTCAATACTTGGGGGAATAAACATGTACACAGCATTTTAAGAACATGACATTTTTTTAAAAAAAATGCCCTGAACAATAGGCTTAGTATAGTTTTGCTATACTAGGGAGGTTACTTCTCATAAGGCAAAAAGTTACCTGTGGAGCTGCCGTTAATATTTGCTGGCTGGGCCATGCTTGCTGAGTGACAAATCCAGAAACTGACTGTTAGGAGTCATGCAAATCAAGCATCAAATCCAATCAGGCATGCAACCTGCAAGAGGAAAAAAAAGGTCATCAAAATATTGCAATCCCAAAACTAGTTGACTTTCATTATAAAGATCACCAGGTATAGGCCCTTGTCCTCAAGTTTAAGCATAGAAAATGTGATAGGCTGATGCATTTTAAAAATAATAATACAGAAGAGTGTGAGTTTCAAAAGTCAAGTGACTTAAAGCATTACTGTCAGGCACACCATTAACAGAAAGACATAGCTGTCAATTTACAGATTTGAAAATAAGGGACCAGCAGCCTCGAAAATAAGGGATCAGCAGCCAAAATAAGGGATCAACAATTACTTTGTTAAAATACATATTTTGTTGCGTGCAAATGGCTTTAGATACCTATTAGGTCCATAAATTACCATATAGCATATATTCAACACAAAAAACCAGCAACAATTTGTTGTTGACAAAGGACAGCTGGACATAGAAAGGGCCCCATTACCTTCAGTAGCTTATTTAAGGGACATCATCAGTAAGGGACAGCAGGGGGACATGGCGCTGGGATAAGGGACTGTCCTGCCAAATAAGGGACGCTTGACAGCTATGCAGAAAGATGAAAATATCTGAGCAAACTGAACACAGATGTTGGTAAACACCACAGACCACAAATCTTCTACAGCAAATATGAAGTAACACAAGCACGGCTTTGGCTTTGATTAGAGGGGCAATCAATAAGGCAGTGATTGTAACAACGAAGCCCTGAAATACAAAGAGTCTACATAAACATAAAGGAGCAAAGAACTTCAATTTGGACTAACAAACATCACTTTTATTTGCCTCTAGGTTGCTTGAAAGGCATTAGAGTCCAGACCAGAATCTGACTGAAATGTGTTATTTGAAATATAAAAGCAAAGGGGAGCTAAATTATAGACTGGAAAATTACAGACAGGCCCGAAGGACCTAGACAGTAGCATGAGAAATGTACTTTGCCAATACTGTTTGTGAGAGAGCATGATGTTATGCCACAATAGTTCCAAAGTGCGAAAAATGGATTGGGAAATCCAAATCAACTTCTGGGCACAACTGTATTCATGTCACAGGACCAATACAACTGAACTGCACACTAGCACTATGTTCACAGTGCAGTTTCAGAAGCAGCGAGCTGCATGGCGCTTTCATTCTCACATCAATGATTAAACCGTGTGGGGCTTGTTTTGTCATTCAGCATCATTTATCTAGCCAGCAATAGGTGGCTGTAATTTAAACCAATCAAGGGGAATTTAAACCAAGAAGGAAAACTGATCTGCAAAAAATATAACTTTGCAATTTGCAGGCAATGTTCAGCCTTGGGTATGTATATACTGTATATCACACACACACACAAAATATATGTGTTTTGTGTATATTGAAGTTTAGAAGCTGTCACACAGAGCATGTATATTAGAAGAAAGTGTGTTTCTCAGAAAATTAGGCTTTCTGCCCTTACCAATCCTGTGTTCCTACATGCTTGTTTCATACCTGCCTGAGATTACTGTGCTCTGAATACTTCAGGGCAAATGCAAAAACAAGTAACAACTGGTTAGAAGTACTATTTGCTAATAGAAGTTAGATGCTACTCTCAAGGCGGGAGAAGGCATTCTTTATTCCGTATTCAAACACTGAATAGTCAATGTGCCAAGAGTCTCGGTACTGACATGGCTTGACAGGACTGTCAAAAATTGGAACAAATTTCTTTTCCGCATACAGGCAAAAGCTTATTCATCAACGCACGTAACTGATGAAAGTCTTGAGAAAAAGAAAAAGGGAAAATAAAAAATCAGGGGACTTACTAGGTCCTTTGTCCACCTATTGCTATTTAAGCCTGTGCCTAAACCACACATTCAGAAGCTGCCATTGACTAGACTTGGGGCCCCTTCATCTTGACTTAGGCTGCTTACTGTACTGCATCCTGTGCAATTAGTATAAATGTACCGTATTTTTCGCTCTATAAGACGCACCAGACCACAAGACCCACCTAGTTTTTGGAGGAAGAAAACAAGAAAAAAAATATTCTGAATCTCAGAAACCAGAACAGCAAGAGGGATCGCTGTGCAGTGAAAGAAGCAATCCCTCTTGCTGTTCTGGCTTCTGGGAAAGCTGTGCGGCCTGCATTCGCTCCATAAGATGCGCACACATTTCCCCTTCCTTTTTAGGAGGGAAAAAGTGAGTCTTATAGAGCAAAAAATGTGTTATATGTCTAATTCTAAGCGTAGGAAAGCCCTCCTTATAATGCACAAACTACAGAAACAAAAATATATAATGCATGTATCCACCATGCATTGTGCAGGGTGCGCTATGGACATGTATGGTACTTGCTCAATTTAACCACTACTCTGTGAGTATGAGCTGTCCAGTACAAAATTCAGTTTCACTAGATAGCCTTTAGCAAGCCAACAGACTTCCTTCACCTCAATATTTGATCTGCAATATGAGGATTAAAGAAATGATCTGATGATAACCAGGGTAATACGTTCAAGGTAGTTAGCAGTGTTGATCTGACACAGTTGAAATAAATAAAAAAATAAGGAAATTGTCCAGTAGCACCTTAGAGACCAGCTAAGTTTGTTCTGGGTATAAGCTTTCGTGTGCATGTATACTTCTTCAGATACACTGACCCTTATATATAGTGGGAGGGTGGGGTGGGGTTTTTCTCAGAAGAGTAGTAGGAGATGGGTGATTGAAGAAGTGTGCATGCACATGAAAGCTTATACCCAGAACAAACTTAGTTGGCCTCTAAGGTGCTACTGGACAATTTTTTTAATTAATTTTGACAGGGTAATATGTGACATGCTTTAGAAAAGCTCAGCAAATGCCAGGGGTAGGCAGACACCACATGCAATAGCTTTTTCTGAAAAATAAAAATTAGGGTAAGTGAAATGTTAAGATTATATAAAGTTGCCAAAGCCTGAGAACTGAAATGGCTCCATTTGCTAGATATAAACTCTAACGTGGGCCATTCCTTCATCAGTGGGAACTTTTAGTTAATCTGCAATTTCAGCCTCCCCAAGTTGCCAGTCGCTGCATGAAGATGTTTTTCTGGGCACTTGGCCAGAGTACAGTGTTTAAAATGTAACCCTGAGTGACGATAAAAACAAGACACACCAGTCCCTGGAACCTCCCACAGCAGGGCATGAAAGGGACTCCTTCAGACATGGCTTGCAGGCACCCCCAAACTCGGCCCTCCAGATGTTTTAGGACTACAGTTCCCATCATCCCTGACCACTGGTCCTGTTAGCTAGGGGCGATGGGAGTTGTAGTCCCAAAACAGTTGGAGGGCTGAGTTTGGGGGTGCCTGCCCTTGACTTTACTGCATAAGAATATAGTTAGCATTACATGCAGCTGATGATGACATCCCTGTGGCCCAGGTGTTCCCTTCTGGGTTCGGGAGCTTAGGAGTGAGGCATTTTAAACTGAGCTGAGATTCGTTCGTAGAGTTTAGATGGCAGACTCACATTTACAGAGCTTCAACAATACGCAGTGTTACAAGACTTGCGATGATATGAACTAGTGGTTACATTGTAATTATGGATTGCAATTTTTAAGCAACGATTGCTATGGTCTCACCTGCTCCATATACTCAAAACTTTTTATTTATTTGCATTCTTTGTTTATTGTGTCAATAAATGAAGTATCTCGACAAACTTTCATTAGCTATGAGAACAGACTTATAGCACAGGAAAATGCTTGCAGAATAACAGCAAAGGCATCACAGAAACAAACGGTAAAAAGCATTGTTTACATTCTTTTAGAAATGAAAGGTTGTTTTTTTAACCCAAACACCAACTCTTAAGGCATCACCCCCATTTTAGCTCATGAAATGCAACTGAAGAGCCTGAAGACCACTGCAATTTTGGTATCTGTTCACCGTGAGAATAAAGTAGAATAGCAATTGCTGTTACACTCCCTCCCCTCTGCCGCAAATATCAACTTGCAGCTCAGTAATAAGTGACCTGCATTAAAGTGTGCTATTCAAGTTATGATACGGATAACCATTATGTAGGATTCTACTGCCACCACCCTCTTATCAAGTGCCAAGCTGGAATTTTCTACATTTCAAGGTTAAGAGTACTGGAAAATGTATAGTTCTGCTAAATGTGGCTTGGCATTTGTCAGGTCCATAATATGTACCGTATTTTTTGCTCTATAAGACTCACTTTTCCCTCCTAAAAAGTAAGGGGAAATGTGTATGCGTCTTATGGAGCGAATGCAAGCTGCGCAGCTATCCCAGAAGCCAGAACAGCAAGAGGGATTGCTGCTTTCACTGCGCAGCGATCCTTCTTGCTGTTCTGGCTTCTGAGATTAAGAATATTTTTTTCTTGTTTTCCTCCTCCTAAAACTAGGTGCATCTTGTGGTCTGGTGCGTCTTATAGAGCGAAAAATACGGTAGTTATATTGTGCAGGCTGAATGCGACCTCTGACCTAGGTCATAACACTTGTGACACTTGGTACTGGGCAAATTGCTTATTACTCTTCACACCACTGTCAGTGTGCATCATTTTTCAAAAAGTTACTTGTAGAAAAAGGCAACACTACGGCTCTGAAGACGGCAATGATAAATCTCTGAGTCAGGACAAAGTGTCCTGTCTTTTCAGCCACACAGGAAGCTCCAGCAAATTACATTTGGCAAAACTATTTAAGAGCTAAGGCTACAGCTCTGTGCTGATATTAGCTAACACACTATTCAGAGAGCACCCTGTATATTTGTGTACATTCCAAGCTATAATCAGACACCTATTCCTAACAAAAGTTCAGCTCGAAAGGGCAGATTTAATTGCAATGCGACACTTGCCAAGCCCAATCCAGAAGACTAGCAAACTTTCTTAGTCTGGATACACTGCTACTTCCAATATTTAATAGATAGAAAAACCTTTTAACAAAAGCTCATTGTTCTTAGCACAGTTCAGGGAATAAAGATGGAATATTTTCGTTGCGCAGCAAATTATTCAGCAGAAAAGGGGTTCAAAGTGTGTGGTTTTAAACCAAAACAAATTCATGCTTTCTATGTAAAAACATTGAAACTAAACATTGAAACTAAGGTTTCATGGATTCTTCTTGGGGTTTTTTTTTTTTTCCCATGGTTCACATCTTTACTTCACAGGCGCAACTACCCCCGAAGACAGCAATAGCTTTCATGAAATTGTTCACAAAAAATTGAAGTATCAATTTACTCTATGAAGTATCTATATGTGCTTTATACTTGTGTAGTCCAACAGCTCTTAGTTGGTAAAAAGCCAGTCGTTAAATTTCAGTCCATCAGCTCAGCTTTCTCACTTCTACCCAGAGATGTTGGGCAGAAAATTTTCTACTCCCCCACCCAAAACCTCCGAGTCTCCTAAATTCATAAGTACAGTGGTACCTCGGGTTAAGAACTTAATTCGTTCTGGAGGTCCGTTCTTAACCTGAAACTGTTCTTAACCTGAAGCACCACTTTAGCTAATGGGGCCTCCTGCTGCTGCTGTGCCACCAGAGCACGATTTCTGTTCTCATCCTGAAGCAAAGTTCTTAACCTGAAGCACTATTTCTGGGTTAGTGGAGTCTGTAACCTGAAGCGTATGTAACCCGAGGTACCAATGTATTGCTAACTTACCAAGTAGACCGGATGCTTTAGAAAAAAACTCCACCCAGCACAGTTTTTACAACTAGCTTAGAAGTCTCTATTAGGGGGGATGATGATGATGATGATGATGATAATGATAATGATAATAATAATAATAATAATAATAATAATTTATTTATATCCCGCCCTCCCCAGCCGAAGCCGGGCTCAGAGCGGCTAACAACGGTAAAATAAGACAGCATATTGGATGCCCACCAAAGACAAGATTCAGTATTTCAGAAACTGATTTACATTGTTTTGAACTGCCTGTCTTGTCTCAAAGAATAAGAGATGTGTGTTAGGGAGCTATTATGAATGAAAAACAGTTCCAGGCTTTTCTTGCTGTTTTCTGCTCAGCTGATCTACATCCTTTCCAAAAGCACCTTGTCTTTTGTTGTTGTTTGTTGGCCAAATTGTTTTCATTGACTTTCCAAATTTTACCAAATGAGCCACAAATACACCTTTTCCAAGCATTGCTTTCTCACAGTCCCTTCTTGGCGCGCCCAAAGTTTCCTCTTGTTGCTGCTTTATTTTCCTGGTTGCTTCTAGTTCACATTCCATTCCTTAAAATTGACTTTGCATTGCAATAGGTTCTTTTATTGTTTTTAAACTTATCATCCTTAACCGTCAGCTATCCACTTGCCCAAAAGCACCTTGTCTAGAAAGAAAACGACAGCCCTGGCAAACTTATTCCCTGGCTGGAAGCTCAAGATATCACACACAATACACACAACCTCTTCCTTTTCCATCCTTTGTAGACTGTTTGGAGAGATGAAATGACTTTAAAAACAGTCTGGGCTCTCTGGTCCCTGAGGCTTCAGGAGCACCTTAGTTCAGTTTAATGTGCCTCAGGGAAGACTTGCTTCACCCCAAAAGAGCTCTGATCTCCCCCAAAGCAATCTTCTCTGGTGATCCCTTGTAGCCGAGTAAGATTGTCTTCCATAAACACAATTTTAACAATGAGTCCGTAAGTGACTGTGGAGGCCAATTCTGGATCCACATGTCCTTCCACAGTGGGGACATAGGTTTCCGGGCAGGAGTTGATCATGGTGTGGATTTGCCAAGCGTGCCTTCCTCTTAGCACGTTTCTCCCTTGCATCCTGAGTTCGAGTGTCTTCAAAGCCCATGACAGCTTTGGTAAAGGCTGTTTTCCAATTGGAGCACTCACAGGCAAGTGTTTCCCAATTGTTGGTGTTTATACTACATTTTTAAAAATTTGCCTTGAGACAGTCTTTAAACCCCTTTTGTTGACGACCTGCATTACGCTTTCCATTTTTAAGTTCAGAATAGAGTAATTCCCCCAAAGCAGTAATTCATTGGATACATGAATTCAAAATCATGCTTTCTCTAATCATACTGAGTGAAACATGTGTACCAAGTGTTCTTGGTTGATGATAAATGGAAGAAGCCTTAAGGAAAATCCAACAGGATGCCAGAGGTAAACGGAACAAGAACAATGAAGGGAATAACCTTAGATTAACAGATGGGGGGAGGAGTGGAACGGGATGAGGGGAGGGGGGAGAGAGAGAGAGAGAGAGAGAGAGAGAGAGAGAGAGAGAGAGAGAGAGAGAGAGAGACCTGTGGGCGGCCCATTGGTACCATGGATGCAGATCTGGTGGGCTGTTGACTAGTATCCGATTTGGCAAGAAATTATCCTAGTTCCCTACATAATATTTACATAACGTCTGAGGTTTGGCACATACACAACATTTTATCACTTCATTTTTGGCAATCTGTAAGTCAATTTCCACAACTGAGTAATTTTGTTGATGCTCTGATTTTTTGTATTTAAAACTAACTCTACCTACCTACTAGCCTAATCAGCTGCGGGGACTACAGACAGCCTCCAGGCATTCCAGATAGAGAAAGCTTTGTAAAAATGGCGCCTTTCCTCTTTCAGGTGACAAATGCACACCTAGGCAAGGGCACATGGGCTAGTTTTTGCGAACTCATTTTGCAAAATTGTATTAAAACCCAAAATGCTAATTCCAATTACAAAAAGCATAGGTCTGACAGACATCTGGGGACCCTATAAATTGCCATACAATGAAGACATTCTACAGAAGTCCAACCAAGTCAGAGGACTACCATTTTCAGTATAGCAGAATTATTCTTATTTTTTTTAAGGTAGA